CCCAGAACACCCAACGCGCGGCACCGTTCAGGTCACTGCTATGCGCCAACTTTCAGGAGGGAAGCGAGGGTTGATAAATTGTCGAACGCGACCGCTGTACGATCTCACTGAAACACGGTGTTGGGGCTTAGGGCTTAGTGAGAGAAGATATTCCTTAAGTGCCCAGTAGGCTCATACGCCCTACGGTAGGGCCCTAGGACCTGCCTAGGACCTCTAGGCCCTCAAATTTGTGGGCATGGCCACTTATGGGATACTCCCTGGAGACCGGTGTCTCTCCATGTCCCTTTTGGTCACGGTGTCAATCTGCACGGTTGGCCGAGTGGACTAAGGCGAGGTGCGGTGGTCATTGCCTCCTCATTCGTACGGGGATATCCCGAGGATGGTGGTGTACTGCCCGTCACCACAAGCCCCCCCTCACTAGCTACCTGACACCTTCAAACGCTCCTCATTCCTTCAGATCCTCTAGGTTGCTCGAGCTCCCACCATCGGCGGACACTGGAACTTATCCTGCAGGACGGCCCTGCTTTTTCCCAAGCATGACACCCTCCTCCTCAGAGCTGCGGAGGAATCGCTCGCGGAGGGAGAGCCTCGGCTCCACCTCCGGCACCGTGCGCTCGGCTCTTCGCAGTGCCCCGGACGCGGGCGCCTTCCTGGCGGCGGCCAGGGCCAGCAGGTCCTGGTCGTCGATCGGCCGGCTCCGTGGCTTCGGCTCAATGCTCGCGTCGTTGGCGCCGATCCCCCGACCGCGGCGCCTCCGCGGCGCCTCTTTCGCCGCCGCGTTCGTCGCGCTCACAGCCGCCACGCTCGCCGGCTCCTTCGTCGTCTCATCGAACGACTCGCTGGGTGTTTTGAATGTGACGGTGAGACCAGGCGCTGATGGCGGTGCCCCCGACCCCCCCATTGCCTCGCTCATACGAGCACGATGCAAGTATGTTCTAAACCCCGCATGTTGTCCCATGCACACGACCCCACGTGCCCCATGCACACGTTTAGAACGTACTTGCATGCCGCTCAGAGGACCCGCAAACGCGGTGCCTCCCCCCCACGCACCAGCTCCCTCGAACGATCCTTCATGAGGCGCAGCCGTAGCCGCGAGAGAGAGCACCAGCACGGAAACAAGGGAGATCCCCGGCGCCGCCACCGACATCCTTCCTTCCAGAGCTCGAGATCTCGAGAGAGGGGTCCGCAGCCGAGGAAGGAGGGTTCTGAGAAGAAGGATGTCGTTGGCGGCAGCACTCCCGCGCTTGGAGCTGTCCTGAAAATTTCGAGCTCCCTTAGGACTCGTTTTTTTCCCCTCGAACTGACAAAATCTGGCAGAGGGAAGAAAAAGGAAGGAGATTTTGCCTGTGCTCCCTAAAATTTTTTGCTTTCGGGTCGTTGAGCTTTCCAGTGCAGAAATATTTCTGTATGTCCTTGAGGTCCTTTAAGTTCTTCGAGCTCCTAACATAAGCGGACACCGGAACTTGTTCTGCAGAAAAGGCATGCTTCATTTCGGATCAAATTCAGGCTGTTTCGAGCCCTCTGGCGTGGCCTGCTCTCCTAATTCGCCCCCGAGAGGATCGTGCCCTTTAGGTCCTTCAGGTCCTTTAGGTTCTTCGAGCTCCCTTTGCTATTGGAGCAACATAGGCGGACACCGGAACTGTTCTGTAGAGCTTATGAGGCAGTCTCTGAAGTCTGCTGTGAGAGCAGTTATTTCCTCGTCGGTCCAGCCAAGTGTTAGCAAAACAAGGACAACACAAGTTAATAAAGCAACGAGTATAGTCACTCCTCATCCCCGCCATGCTCACTTACACGCACCGAACCCATCCTTTAGGTCCTTCAGGTTTTAAATGCTCCCAACATATGCCAACGCATACGCATATGTTATTTGAGCCTCTCCGTACTCTGGTCCACTTAAAGGATTATGGTCGAAAAAATATTTCCTGAGAATATGAGCTGGCTATGATAGCCCTTATGTGGCGTGATAGACTCAACAGGCGCCACCGCCGGGCACGCTGTGGACCATGTACTCTCTCCGCTCGGGCGCCGCCACGGCGGCGCACTCTGTCGGGGTCTCCCTCCCTTCAATCCAACGCTGGGACTGTGGAAGTCCCTCGCGGGGGTGGAGCCCTACATCGACGCGCTGGTCCAGCCGTCGGGTGAAGCGCTCCTCTTCTTCGGCCACCTCGTCCGACACGCGCCTCCGGCGCTGCCGACGCACCCTAGCGGGTTAGGTGCCGTCTCTCCATAGCCAACCC